CTCCCCCCCCAGCACCTCCACGCAGCCACCACCCCGCAACTGGAGACTAGACACAGTGCAAGGGGGGGACCAGGCCTGCCCCCCACTGTGGGTCCCGAGCTAGGGACCCTCTGGCAGCAGCCTTGTTCCACCTCTTGTTCCCGGGGCCACTTCCCCGGTGACCCTTTGCAGCTTCCTGGCCTTGTCACAAGGCCACAGTCTGGCAGGGATCAGGGTCCTCCCTCTTTACCTTCCCCCCCGCCCCCCGAGCCTGCCTAGCCCTGCTCCCCCAAAGGTGCCTCTCCAGGAACCAGGTCCTGCCCCTTCCCTAGTCAGGGCTGAACTGCCTCTTCTTTGCTGGGCAGCTCCTTTTATACAGGGCTGCTCCTCTAAGCCCTTCTCTGATTGGCTGGGGCTCTGAAGCCTGCTTTCACCCTTCTCGGCCACTATGGGGCAGTCAAGGGCTTATACTTGACAATTTCCAGCATCCCTTTCTCCCTAGTCCCACCCGGCCAGAGATGGCTAATCGTGTAACGCTAGAACTTTTACTTTTTAAAACCCTTTTTACATCCCTGCTCCTGAGTGAAGCGCCAAGCGCGGCTCGCCCTACCATCGGCACCGGTCCCCATGGTATCCGGGCAGCTTTGTTATTGTGTTTCTTGGGGCCTTTTTTGTGTCGTGGCTTGTCTCCCCGTGGCTCGTCTAGCAATCGCGCAAGGAGATTGGCTCTCGGGTCGGGCTCCGGAGAAGCGTTCACCGGGATCCAGTGCTCTCGTGCGGCGCTTACCTGCTTCCCCCGCCCCCTCTTGCAGGCACAAGGACGCATTTACGGCAAACTCAAGGAGGAAAACTTTTTTGGGCCGAAGGAAGAAGTAAAGCTGGAGACGCACATCCGGGTCCCGGCCTCGGCCGCCGGGAGAGTAATCGGCAAAGGAGGCAAAACTGTAAGTGAGAGCCCGGCGAGAGAATCGGGGCTGCCTGGAGAGGGGGAGAGGGTGGCAGTTTTTGAGGATTAGCGAGGAAGAAGCCATCCGGGGACATTAAGGGGGGGAGCTGGGAGGCAAAACTGGGTGGGTGGATCTTTGCTGGGGCTTCTGTCTTCCAGCTTCTCGGATTGCTCTCCTCCTGCAAATGCCAGCTCCTTCCTTGGCCCAGCCGGGGTGGAAGACAGGAGGGTCAGGTTGGGGCAAGGAGGAAGGGGCTGGTAACCCACAAGAGATGGGACCCCGGGCAGGGCCAAGGAGTACATGGAGTTTTCGTAAGTTTCAAGGGTCAGTTGCGGCCCCCGAGAGGTGGGCAGCTCTGGAGCCGAGGAGGGAGGAGGCGAGATGGCTTTTTAGCATTGGTTTTGGCCGAATGGAGAAATGCAAAACCCGGGGACCGGTCGGCGGGTTGGTTACGATTCTTCTGCCTGACGTGGCGCCGTGGGCTCTGCCGCCCCCCTGCAGGTCAACGAACTGCAGAACCTGACGGCCGCCGAGGTGGTGGTGCCGCGGGACCAGACGCCCGATGAGAACGAGCAAGTCATTGTAAAAATCATTGGACACTTCTACGCCAGCCAGGTAGGGCGCGCGGGGTCACCCCTCCGCGGGGCGTGTGCTGGGAGGGAGGAGGGGCTGCCGGAGGCTGATGGCAACCTACCCATGCTGCTAGCCAGCAGTTGTATGTTTGTACGTTCGCCATCCCTGGGGGAGAGGATGGGACCCTACATAGTCTGGAGAAAGGGGGCAAAATTTGCAGATGATACCAAACTGCTCAAGAGAGTTAAGTCCAAAACAGCCAGGCAAGAGCTTCAAAAGGCTCTCGCCGAATTAAGTGACCAGGCAACTAATTGGCAGATGAATTTTACTGTTGATAAATGCAAAGTGATTCACATTGGAAAACATCATCCCAGCTATCCATACAATATGATGGGGACTCATTTGGCTACAACTACTCAAGGGCAAGATCTTGGCCTCACCGTGGAGAGGTCCCTGAAAACATCCACTCCGTGTGCAGCGGCCGCCACAAAAGCAAACAGAATGTGAGGAATCATTAAGAAAGGGATCGAGACTAAGACAGAGAATCTTTTACTACCTCGGTTTAAATCCCCGGGGTGCCCACAGATGTGGTGACCTCACCTCAAAACAGATCTCGTAGCACCGGAAAAAGTTTCAAAAATAGCAACAAAAATGCTGAGGGGTTTGGAACAGGTGCCATATAAGAGAGATGAAAAAGACTTTTCAGCTTAAAAAAGAGGAGAGTGAGGGAGGATATGCTAGAAGTCTATCAAATCATGACTGGTGTGGAGAAAGTGAATAAGGAAAAGTTATTGGCTTGTTCCTGTAACACAAGAACGAGGAGTCACCCAATGAATTTAATAGGTAGCTGGGTTAATACTAACAAAAAGACATTTTTTCTTCATGCATCATTGCACAGTCAACCTGTGGAACTCCTTGCCAGAAGATGTTGTGGAGACCAGGGTTCACAAAAGAGCTAGATAAATTCATTGAGGATGGGTCCATCAATGGCTATTAGCCAGGATGGGTAGAAATTGTGTTCCTGGCCTCCGTTTGTCGGGCTGGGAATGGGCGATAGGGGAGGGATCACGTGAGGATTCCCGGTTCTGTTCATTCCCTCTGGCACCCCTGGTACTGGCCACTGTGGGCAGACAGGACCCTGGGCGAGATGGACCTTTGGTCTGACCCAGCCTGGCTGCTCTTATGTTCTACAAATGAAGTGACCTATCACCAGTAGAGGGAACCTCTGAGCCTCAAGAGAGACTAAGACCAGAAGAGACAAATTCCCAAGGAAATGAATTGAGTCGTCATCACCTTCACAGGACCCCTCAGTTCTCGTTCTTTCTCTGTCACTCACTCCCTGTGTGACCTTGGCAGGTCACCTCCCCGCTATGTGCCTCAGTTTCCCCGTCTGTAAAACAGCACTCACGAGCACGCGGGGCAAAGTGTTTCGAGGCTTCGCTCAGGAAAGGTTGCGAGGTGCTTTTGAGCTGGAGGGAAAAGGCAAGAATTCTTGTGCAGTTTGTTATTTAATATTTGTATTCAGCAAGAACCCAGAGGGTCTGGTCAGCCTCGAGGTCCCCTTTTCCGAGCACTGAGCCCTACATGGTCTCCACTCCCAAGAGCTAGAGATCTAGGAAATGCGCATTTCCGCAGTACTCCCTTGCCTTGAGTGCCTTGCTTGAAAACGCCCCTTGGTAAGATCCCACCGATAACGCATGCGGGAAAGCAGAATGGTTTGCCAGGTCCCGGTGGGTCAGCGGCAGAGAGGGTCCCCTTACATTTCAAGCTCTCATTTCTCCTCTCTCCCTAGAACACCGTCCCGGCCCTCCTCTTAGCACAGCGGTAGCAGCCAGGACCGGCGCCCCGTTGTGCTAGGTCAGGGGTGCGCAATCATTTTTGACCGAGGGCCACTTTACAAATTTTTTAGGTGGCCCTGGGTCACCCCAAAGGGGTGGGGCCTAGGGCAAAAGGGGCGGGGCCAGGATACTTCTGTGCTCCCCCGCCCACAGACCCTGATTGGCCAGAGGATGGGGGAGCACATGAAGTCTTTCCTCTCGCCTCCCCTGGCACCTAGAGAGAACTGTCAACTGTTTGAAACAGCTGGGGCTCGTCGTCGACTCCGAGAAACGTAGGAGCCGCAAGAGGTCATCTGGTCCGTCCCTCTGCACGGGGGCAGGATCTCCTAATGCCCAGTCCCGTGTTCTCACCGCTAGGCCGCGCTGCCTGTTGCTAACTCGGCCGCGGCTTTTCTTCCTCCAGATGGCGCAGCGCAAGATCCGCGATATCCTGGCGCAGGTGAAACAGCAGCACCAGAAGGGACAGGGCGGCCAGACGCAAGCGCGAAGGAAATAAGAGGCGCCCGCGTGCGACGGCCGTGACACATAGTGGAAACCGAATGAGTCGATGCCGGGCTTAAGAGTGACTGGGAATCAGTTACCGTAGACAGATGTGCAACTTCCCCTTCCCGGGTTGAGATTAAAAGGCAGTTTGATTGGCTCCCCCCCAAATCGATCCATTAGCTCAATACGCCGCCAAGCCTGCTTAAATGAAGCGACCCAGGCTGGGGGGGGTACCACCCCCAATCCGCCCCCCTCCCCTGCTGCTGTGATTGGCCATTGCCTAGCAACGGCGCTTCCCCCATTCCGTGCTGCAGTGAATCCAGTGCGCAGTCATCGTGCTTTTCAGTGGGGAGGGATGTGGGCTTAGCACAGAGGAGTTTAACCATGACCTCCCTCTTCCCCCCCCCCAAAAAAAAATTCCTAGAGCAAAGCAACCCCCCTCAGTGCTGGTTTTAGAAATCCGCCCTGACAGGATGGTTCCCGTGCCCAGGCGCAGTGAGATCCTGCCTGGGCGAAGGTTTAGAGGCAAATGGACTCAGATAAGCCGGAGCCCTCCCCGGATCCGTCTGAGAACGTGAGGGAGGAGAGAGCTCTCTCTTCCTCGTGCACCACGCTCCGGGCGACGCGTTGGCAAAGCCTTCTCAGCCCCGAGAGCAGGTGTATATTCCAGGACGGATTTTTTTTAAAGGAAGCCTATGAAATGATGGCAGAATTGGGGAGAATTAGCCCCGGCTCATCGAACAGTAGCCTTCCTGGAGGGGACGCCCTGGGAACAACCACGCACAATGCCGCATCCTCCCAAGCGACACTGTTTGCCCCAATCAAATCACCTGAGGAAGAGAAGTTTTGATCCTTCCCTCCCCCGCCCCCTCCAAAAATTTGCTTTGTAGGAAACATGATTCAACATTCCTCCATGTCAAAACCGCAGTTGATTATTAAAAGCCAAAGGGATTTTCAACCCACCCTGAGCGTGACCAACTGCAGGCAGGATTTCACATCTCTCCAGGGGCCAAAAACCGGGGCACGCCTTCAGAAGGGAACGGACAGGCTCCTGCCTGGGCGGCGGTATAGAATCATAGAACACTAGGACTGGAAGGGACCTCGAGAGTCATCGAGTCCAGTCCCCTGCCCTCATGGCAGGACCCAGTACTGTCTAGACCATCCCAGATAGACATTTATCTAGCCTACTCTTAAATATCTCCAGAGATGGGGATTCCACAACCTCCCTGGGCAATTTATTCCAGTGTTTGACCACCCTGACAGTTAGGAACTTTTCCTAATGTCCAACCTAAACCTCCCTGGCTGCAGTTTAAGCCCATTACTGCTTGTCCTGTCCTCAGAGGCCAAGATGAACAAGTTTTCTCCCTCCTCCTATTGATTGGGGGAGAGGCTGCTGGGGAGCGCCGACCGGCAGAACCGAACTGGGCACCCCTGGAGCTTAGTGCATGAGCTTGGGCTAAAAGCCAGCTGCCTCTCAGCTGAGGCTGTCGCGCTCCCTCACTCTCTCTCTCTGTAAGGGGTCTCAGGGCCACTCCATGGGACAGTGTGTCTCACGAGCACACCATGCCCTGCACTAGGACAGGACACCTGGGTTCCATTCCCCACCCTGCCAGTGACACTGGACAAGAGTGCGTGTCTCAGTTTCCCCGGGTGCCAAAGCCTCCCCATCTAGCTCTGGTCTACACTAGGGAGTTATTTCAAAACAAGCGGAGCATCCACATGACCAAGCCCGTTACTTCGAAGTAAGAACTCCTGCTTTCCACAGGGAATAACGCTGGTTTTGAAATCGTGACTTCGAAAAAGCAGTCGTGTGGACGCTCCGCTGCTTCTATTTCGAAATGACTCCCCAGAGTCATTCAGAATAATTCCTCCCCAGGGCTTCCTGGGGCTCTCCGTCGCGGTAGCGCATCCACATTAAGGGAGCCGGCCTCGGACTCATTTGGAGCCTTCCCTGCCGTGTGGACGTGTCATTTCGAAAAAGTTCTTTCGGGGTTGTTATTTCGAAATAAGTCCTTTTGAAATGATTTCCTAGTGTGGGCCAGGGCCTACCAATGGGGACATGATGCTTCCTTCCTTTTGTAAAAGCTTTGCGATGTACTGACGATACAAGCCAGCTGTTGCTAGTATCATTGTCAGACACCTGCTCACGTCACTGCAGGCAGCAGGCACCCCATGGCCGGTGAGCGCCCATTCCCCCTGGCCTCCGAAAACTGCCGCCTAAACAGAAAAGGCTAGACCAGTGTTTCTCACCCTTTTTTTTTATAAAAAAATTCTAAGTACCCCCAGTATCTAGTTTTCAGACATACACAACTTATTTTTACCATTGCAATACATGTGTTTCAACAACCTAGTCGTAGCCGGGCAGGCGATGAAATTTTGGGGTGTAAAAAGTACAAGAATAATAAAGTGCTGTAAAACTTCAAACAAAAATTCAGTTTTCTCCAAATGTCAGTTGTTGATGTCGCCCCTAGACTTCCCAAGTGCCCCTAAGGGTACTCGTACCACTGGCTGAGAAACACTGGGCTAGACTCTTTGAAAACGCAATCCCGAGCCATGTAAACTCTCCCCGGGGGTTATCTGTCTTTGCCTTTCCCTTTATTCTCTCTAGGGGACGGGGGAATTCCTGCAATTTGGCACAGGGGGAAAAAAAAATTAAACCCACAAGCAAAACTTTTCTGCAGTAAAAATGCCTTGTTTCCATGAGACAAAACCAAATATCGAGGTCGAAAGAATGTAATATGGTTCCTGAATCCAGTCACTCTTATGTGGGATTTTTATATTTTAAATGATGTTTTAATGGTTTGTTTATATGAGCATTTGGAAGGGACAGTAACTGCTGCGATGACATCACAGCGAGGTCTCGTCCCCCTTGGAACGGCTCCCTCCAGCTGTCCTCTGGGCCGAAAGCAACCCCGTATGGGCGGCTTTCGCCCAGCGCCCATGCAGCACCGAACCAGCCGGGACGGGCAACCTTCGGGCCAAACTGTCCCGCTGAGGTCAGGTGGAAGTGGCTTCAGCAAAGCAGGAGGATGTCTAGGGTGCAGCTCCTGCTCTCTCGCCCGCCAGGGCCAATCCAGAGGAGGTCTGTGCTTTAATTCAAGGCCTACACTAGGGAGTCCAGTTAATTCCACTGGATTCAGTGGCCCGGGCAGTCCATGACCTTCGGCCTTCCCCCAGTTACACCCGTGCAAAGCGGGCCTGCCAGGGCCCGTTCGGATCCTGCTGATTGTGCCCTGAAGGGCAGCGGAGAACGGGCAGAAGCAGAGGAGACACGAGATCTCGCTGTGTCTGGAATGGGAAGCCGCGGGTGACCCCCTTGCGTTGATTTGCTTCGGGAGGGGAGACCAGACCTTGTCTGCCAATGCATTCCTTGGTAGCACTCGCGTGGGCTATCGCTACGCTGCGACCGGAGGGCTGGCTGGAGCATGGTGGGGCACGCTCGGGCAAGCTAGCACAGCTCAAAATAGCAGTGAAGATACATTGGCACAGGGCTAGCAATGTAAGCAGGGCCCGAGGAAGACCAGCTGGGTTAGCGACGGCCACAGGCCCCTATCTTCACTCTTATTTTCCATCCTGCTGGCTACATCGACGTCCGCCCTGGTGTGGCTCCATAAGCTGCTGTCCCACAGGGTAGACACAGCCCACGCCAGCGCTGGCTTGGCATTTGGACTCCGCTGCGGCCGCCACGCTCGCTCGCCTTGAGAAAGGGAACATCCACGCAGTTACTGTCCTTTAAACATTGCAACAAGAAGATGTGGGGAGGGTCAGGTCGTGCGGTGTGTGTTAGCAACAAGGGGGGGAAAAAAGTAAGAAAAGAAAAGGAAAAAAAAGCTACCTCAAGGTATGAAGTTACCTCAGCGATTGATTTTTTTTTTTTTTTTGGAGCTTGCTGATATTTTATATAAAAGCTGATAGTCTTGAATATTTTATTTTTTTAATGAAAAGAGAAGTTACGTTTCATAATTTCTTATGAGCCAGGAGGTATGTGCAGGTAACCAAGTGTTATGAGCTCTCTATTGAGAACGACAAACTTCGGACATAGTGGAAAAGATGGTAGCCGCTGATTTTTTGGCCTTTTAAAACGGGGCGGTTAATTTCACCCTGACGCAAGCGTGATTGGCTGTCAAAATTCAGGATGGACGTAGCGGGTGGCAGCCCACCAACTTTTTGATTGGAAACACGTTTGTTTTTTAACTAGCCCTTGGAATAAAGTCCATGATTGACTCAATTCCACCGGGGAGCCAAATCGTTAAAGAGTCTTAGATTAGACCCGTTTCACAAAAGAGAAAGGGAGTTGAATGGATTTACTATCAAGAGATCATTGTTAGCCATTGCAATTGGCAAGAAAGCATGACTCCACCAACTTTTTGATTGGAAACACGTTTGTTTTTTAACTAGCCCTTGGAATAAAGTCCATGATTGACTCAATTCCACCGGGGAGCCAAATCGTTAAAGAGTCTTAGATTAGACCCGTTTCACAAAAGAGAAAGGGAGTTGAATGGATTTACTATCAAGAGATCATTGTTAGCCATTGCAATTGGCAAGAAAGCATGACTGGCTGGTATATCTCACACTGGTCCACTGTGGTCTAAATAAGTAGCCTAAATAACGCACTAACCAACTCAAATGGATCGGCTTCTCATGTCTAAACAGACAGCATCAGGCCATCTTCTCCACTATGATGCTTTAAGTATTTTACAGAGATTGCCTCAGTTTTACCGAGGATAAACAAATAATTAGAGAGAGAGAAATGGGAGCCGACATTGTATACGTGCAGACAGCAAGGAAAAAAAGAAAAAAAGAAAGATGTGAACACAGCTATCGCTATTAGAAAAGTTCACACTTTTAAGCCACATCTTGCTACTTTTTTTATCATACCTGCAGGAAATAACCCTTTTTAGGATGTCATGTTCAAAGATCCGCGGTGGTAAAAATCAAGTCTACAGAGGCTGAATCTGCGTCCCTCACCCCCCAAAACTCAGTGGGAATTCTGGGTGTGTGATGAACGCTGGAACGAGCCTCTAAACGTGTGCGGCTTTAAAGAAGTAATGACCCTTTTTCTGTAGAGACAGGTAATAGCAAACAAACCAAGAGTGATACATTCCAAAATGTGCATAAAGGGAGAGCAGGGTCCTTAATTCTGCCTTTCACCACTGGAAGGTCTGGATAGTCAAGGCCTTTGTTTCTGACTCTTTGCACCTGTCTCCTCAGGGAAGAAAGTTACAAGACGTGGTAGGAAAGAAGTGGAATAGATTTCAAGTCGATGCAGTTGATTTTTTTTCTCTTTTAACTGTAGTTGTCATCTTCTCCTATGAAAAATGGTTTCCTACTTCTTTAAATC